ATTTTTAATTGTGTCTGAATACTTTTCAGACACTTCTCATATATTTTATTACTATTAGCCATGATACACACTGTTTAGTGTTTAATAAATAAAAATGGGATGTCTATTACAAATACATAGTAAACACCACAACTTTGAAGTAATAAAAATGTCAGTTTAAAAATAAACCCAAAATATATATATATATATATATATATATATATATATATATATATATATATAATTTTCAGATAGAGTGTATCAGCAAAGGAACAAAATGAATAAAAAGACAAGAGGAAAATCTATTCTTAGCTGACATGTTTTGTCTTCTGAGGGATTTTATTAAGGCAAGGCAATTGATAAAAAAGTTTTTTCTCATGTCTTTATATATATATATATATATATATATATATATAGTGAGACAGAAAAGTACTAGGATAGGAAGAGGAAAAATGTCAAACAGTTATATTCGGATCCCAAAAAGAAGAGGTATTGAGCAAAATTTAATGGAATAATTATCTCAGGGTGAGGTGTTGTAATGGAATGTCCCACACTCCCTATTGCATATGTAGACTGACTATATCAGTACATATATATATAGTAAACATAGGAAATACCTGGCGGACTTGCTTTAGGAATTACTAGCTTGCTAACCAATTTCCTGTCTTTCAGTATCGTATTCTCTTTTACAATAAACCTCTCTCTCTCTTTCACCTATGCGTGTGTTACTCTTCCTTTCACTCGAGTACCACCTTTGTCTGTTTGTAACCTTCTTTAAGGATACAATTATATATATATATATATATATATATATATATATATATATATATATATATATATATATATATATATATATATATATATGTATGTATGTATGTGTAAAATCAATTAAATTTTTACAACATTGATTCTTTCACAATGTCTTGTATACAGTAATTGAAAGAAAAAAACTGTTTTTTTTTTTTCTTGCCTCTAAAAACAGTTATATGTGAAGAAATAATGAATGATGGGAGAAGTTCAGAATATCGTACTTTGTTTTTATTTTTCTACTAAATATTACCCAAGACAAGGCTCAAGAGTCACTCAAGATAGAAGGCTATTGTTGAAATGGTACTGAAGTGTGTAAAATGAGTGGAAGAGAAGTGGGGATTAAGAAGACAAGGGAGATAAATAACAACTGACCCTTGATTTGAATTAACCAAGATTAAAGTATTCAGGGAAATACTGTAAAGTTCTCACACAAATTTTCACCAATAAACCACAGCAGCGCTCTTTTCAACATTTCAACCTTACCATTAATTGATAATGTGTAGTGTTTTCACTTCATTGCACTGCTTGAACTTCAGTTATTCACTGTAGCCATAACTGGTGTTAATGGTAAATGGATATTAATAACAACAAGAAAACGAGCAGAAATCACTTGCCTATATTGACAAGATCATGCTGATTAAAAAACAAATCTAGTACAAGAAAGAACTGTAACAGACAGACAGAGAGATTCATTGCTTTCAGTGTCTTGTCAGGGAAGAAGATAAAACCCTGTTTTACCCTGAAATGGATCAATGGTATTAAAAATATATTCCACCTGTTCTTGCACCCTTCCCCACATACATAGTGACAGACTAAATCTTAGTAGCTTTCAAGATCAGTACATTTTTCTTTCCTGCAAGAGTGCTTTTACTGCATTCAATCCTTTTCTCTGTTTTATTTGGTTGATTTAGCTATGTTTGTAGTCACACTCAAATTTTGCGACTGATATTTTTGGGGGTAACCATTAAGAAAACAAAAATCTCTATGCTTCCATAAACACACGGTAGACATTTTATTTCTATATCTCTTTGTTTGTTTCTACTTACACATATATAGCAAAATTTTTAATCATTTAGGAGTTACTGAGTATGATAGAATTGGAGAAAAAAACATTATTAAGGAAAGAACATTAAAAGAACAGGAATCAAGAAAACATTAGATAATGACTGACATTGCCTTTAAACTTTTGAAAATCATAGTTGGTTGGAAAGCAAGAAGCCAGAACAGAGTTATACAGGCAAGAGGTGTGAGAAAAGAAAGTGTTAGCAAATAACTTATATTTACCCCTATTCAATTCAACTGTAAAATGATGAGACCTTGTCACCAATCTAGTACTGTGCTTAAATGCATGAAATCAAGGTAAGTTCATCAGAAAAATTACCATGGAAATATTTATAGAAAAAACAGAAGGAAGCTACATCACAATAGGGGAAAAGTGACTTAAGCTGGGATGCCAAGTCAGGACCAATAGCAGATTCTTCTTTGGATTTTATTAAGAATCTCTGAAATATAGCAGCATACATGGGTCAATGGTAAACTTATAAATATGCAAGATAGATTCTGGAGAGAAAGATTATCTAGCACGACACAGTGAACCAACTTTCCTAGCAGAAGACCTGGCAATTGATTCAATATAATCTTTACACTTCAGGTCAACAGAGAACATTAGCCAAAGAATTCACGAGTTACTCTCTTGAAGGTTAGCATCAACCATGCAGATGAAAGGGAGAAAGGGGGTTTCAGATGATTAATAGAGAGTAGTTTTGTTCTGGAGGCATTAAAATTAACAAGCCATCCATTGACCAAGTTAACATTAAAATTTTAGGTCACTTTTGAAATCTGTTGCCAATTTGACCTTCTTGAACCAATCAGACATACTACAGGTTGAGAATGGGGTAGCTTGGGAAAGGAAACCAAGCATAAGCACAATATCCCTTTACATTTCATAACAAAGCTTATACATATACCCTGAAAGTAGTTTTATATAAAATGTAATAAATTTTATGTACATACAGATAATGACACTAGTCATGTAATGTTCATATGGACTTTTAAGTGGAGAAATAAGATTTTGTGTAAAAATAATGTATTGTACTTTCTGTATGTGTATAATATATACTTCTTTTCTTTTCACTACCCATATGAGAATTTGCTGGACTTTTTGACATTGAGAATATCTTTACTGAGCAAGAAACACCTGGTAAGTAATCCACAAATGTTGCTGTGATAATTGCTAACAAAAAACTGGTGCCAATGTAGGCTATGTAGCAGAGCTGGGGAACCCCCACCAAGGGCAGATGATGTCACTTACAACAGCTACGCATCACCTAGGAAATTTCTCAGTGATTTCTGAAATTTTGTGTTTATGGCAAGTCATGTCAGCACCTGAAAAACTTTTGGATTTTGGAGGTTTTCAGATTTGGGAATTTTAGATAAAGGATACTCAATCTTTATTACCAAATTTGCTGATCTATAAGTGATGGATGTTTTTTTTTTTTAATTACTGTAATTCATCTTATGCCAATACAAGTCATTGTGAGCAAGCCTCCAATTCATAATATCAGTGCATTGAACACAGTCTAATATTTGCATACTTTAAGATAAAATAAAGGCCAGTAAAATATAATATTTAATGATAATTGTAATTGACTGCCAGTTGAAATTTCTCTTTTTCTTAAAAGGTTTTTTTCAGGAAAATAGACTTCTCAAGGGTCATGTAAAAAAATCAAAATCTTCATTATTTATCATTTTTCTTTCTAATTACATGTGCCATCCAATTTAGCTGTTGCTGCTGTTGGAAGTCATCAAGTTGTGTGATTTTTGTTGTTTGATAAATTTTTTAGTTTGTGATTCTGTAGGTGGCATGGTGGAATAAAATTTAGCAGGTCAGATTGAGGAAAGCCAAGTTCAAATTCCAGTTGAATTCATTACATTCACTTATGTGAACCCTTGGGAAATGCATGAATCCAAATCCTCCTCACTAGCTATGAGTAAATAGCAGAACAGATTGGCAGCCAGTCTCGGAGAAGGAAAACTGAATTTAAACCAGCTTGAAGAGGGTTGGACTCTGTCAAGCTATCTTGTCCAAGACACACCACTTCTACCGTGATTGCAATACATATGGTGCCCCTAAGACCCTAATGGGTTATAGGACTTATGTTTGTGATGATCATGAGTGAAGATCAGGTGAAGAATTGTCTTGTTTAAAACCTAAAGGATTCATTCACTTGAATTTATTTTTTTAATCACTGAACTGAGAAAACTGTTCTATATTCCTCACTAACATCTCATTTTCTTTCACCCTTAGAACAAAAAAATGTATAAATTCACTTTCAAATGTTTAGGTTTTATTACAATTCTAATCATCATTTTTTGAAACAGTAAACATTGCCATGTTGTGAAGGTAGTTAAAATAACAGTAGTGTCAAGGGGAAAATAAACATCCTTTTAATATGAAGGTTAAACATTGGCCAAATCTCTATGTAATCCAATAAGATTGCCTTCAAAATAATATGAGATTTGGTCCAATATTTTTTTAATCATTTCACCCCAAGCAAGGTAATAAGGCCACTAAGACAGAAGAGGTTACTGAGGGTAAGAGAAGATGAGAAAAAAATAAATGAACAGGAATTAAGATAGAAGATAACAATTAACATTGCATTTAAATTTTTGAAAGTCAAAGTTGACTGGAAAGCAAAAACTCAGATGCAACAAGAATTTATTCAAAATATATCACAATCATGATCATGAGTCCTATAACCCATTAAGATTATAGATGCAATGCATGTACTGCCACCAGAGCAGCAGTAGCGTATCTTGGGCATAATAAGCTGACAGAGCCCAACCCACTCAAGGTTGGTTTGAATTCAAAGTTGTTGTTCTCCTAGACTAGTTGCCAACCAAGGCTATCAAGGCCAATCTATTCTGCTATTTACCCATAGCTAGATTGATTGATTGATTTGTTTTCTATGGCATATCAACCATTTGCAGGTTATTAAAACCAAAAAATATTGGAAGAATTTTTTTTTAGAGATAATAATAGTTTAGTGATACAAGTCTTACTAATTAACTCATAGCTGGGGAAAAAAGAAGTGGATTCATACCTTTCCCAAGGGTATTTGCCTGTAAGTGAATATTATGAACACTACAGGAATTGGAACTTGGCTCTCTGATTAACAATTCCATTATACCACATGTACATCCAAGTTTATAGCATCTGGTATTCCAAAGTAGTCACACAGTGAAATACTAACCAGGCTCGATCTTGCTTAACTTCTGTGATCATATAGGGACCAGTGTTTAAGCATGATGTGGCCATAAGCCTCTCATAACTGAAGGGAGAAGAGATGGATTCATGCCTTTCCCAAGGGTATTTGTGTATAAGTGAATGTAACAAACTTGACTGGGATTTGAACTTGGCTCTCTGATTTCTCATCCTGAGCCACTATCCATTACTCCAGTGCACAGAAATATATAGTTAACCTTTATGAGGAGACACTTTTCCTTTAGTCATCAAAATGATACATATTCAAAGAAGGTTTACTGTTCATCAATCTTTATGCAAGATTCCACCTGACTTAAATGAACATGTTTGATATGCAAGAAGGTAAGTAAACTTCTGTTCTTTAAGGTTGCTTGAATTATATATTTATGATATCAATTTTGTATTTTTGCTTTATGTGATTCACTGAAATTGCATAAACCATTTTGCCGTTTATTTTACCTTCTTCAGATTTTCTCAGCTTTTTATCTTTCTTCTCTCATGTCAGGAAACATTTTCAGCTGCTTTGAATTAATGTTATTTTGTCATTGGCACAATAAATCATCCATTTTTTTTTTAACTCTTTTTTGCTTTTTCTTTTTCATTTTTCTTTACATTTGTTTGTTTTCCTCTTTCTTCCATTCCTTTCTAGGTTTCTTTTTTTTCTTTCCAAGTTTCTTTCTTTCTTTCCCATCACAAGTGACTATTTTTCTAGTTAATGTTTTTTCTTTTGAATTTCAGTCAGCATTCTTCTCTTGGTTCTAATCTTCAGTTATTCACGAATTTTAATATAAGTAAATTTGATTTGCATTTTTTTTCTTATTCTATTATCCTTGTATTTCTTTTCTTCATTTTTCTTTCCATTTGCTCCTATTGATTCATTCTTCAATTTTTTTCAATATTTCTTTTTTTTTTTTTTTCTTTCTTTTGTGATTTTTCGTATCTTATTGTATTACCTTTATATTCACTTTTTCCTTCATTTTTCTTTCCATTTGTTTCTTCATCATCCATTTTTTCAATGTTCCATTCTTTTTCCTTTCCAACAAAAACAAGATTCTTTCTTTTCCATCATATGATCAACTATTTTTCTTATTCATTTTCTTCTTTTAAATTTCAGTCAGCATTTTTCTCTCAATCCTAATTTTCAGTTATTCACTCATTTTAATATAAGTACTTTTTCTTTTGTGATAATTTTTTTTATTTTATGCTATTATATTTATATTCTTTTTCATTGCCATTTCTTTTTACACTAACTCTTCTATTTTCTTCATTCTTCTTTTTACTTTTATCTTTTTCATTATGATACTTTTTTTCCTGACAAATATTCCTTGTAATTAAAACAAAAACTCTCTTCATCACAAAACTCATTATTATCCAACCATAATTTGCAGATGTACATTTGTGCAATCAGTGGAGTCTGCAGCTTTTGTCTTTGATAAAAATGAAAGAAATCATCATTTGCTTTTATTAATGTTTTGCTATTCTTATAAGAACTCATTTTCAATTTTTTTTAAATCCAGTATATAATGCCATGTTAATGTCATTAAGGCTATTATTTTTGTTAATGATTAATTTTCTCACTCCGAGAAAGTATATTGTTACCATTATCATTGTTAATTGTATATTTTCTTCTCTGTCATATATGACAATAAATAAACCATTATTCCTATTCTCTCTCATTACTATTATAGCAATGATGACAGGGAAATAGGAACTGATGTCATGAGACACAGCATACAAAACAGAGTTGGTAAACTAAGTTCAAATTCTGGTTATAACTGATGATATCACTTTTGTAGAGAAAGGTAGAGATTAAATCCCCACTTATAACCTCTTGACTATTTTTAGTCACACTGATCTAGATTTGTATTTTGCTTAGTATAATAGTAAAAATGAATTGTAGCTATAAGGTGCTTTAAAAAATTACCCAACTTTATTTTTCCTGACAAAACTAATGTCGTGTAGACAAAATCCTTTCGGTGGGAGGTGGCACCATCTTTCCTACACATATGTGAACATCTTTGTGCCAGTTGACTGCATCAGTTCCCAGCTATTATACCTAGAGTACAGATGTGTAGTGTGCTCATTGAATTTTCATTTTCATGGAAGATGACCAAATGCTTCAAGCAGAAATAGTCAAGCTCAAACAATCCAGAAGATTCAGCAGGCTTTTGGCTATGACGCCATGGGCAAAACTCAGATCAAGGAGTGGTACAACCACTTCAAACATGGTTGCACCTCAGTGGAGAGTGAGACATACTCAGGCAGGTCATCTATAAGCTAAAATGAGGAGCTGAGTGAGAAAGTTCAGTGAATAGTAATGGAAGATCATCATGTAACAATACAGGAAATTTCTCATGAAGTGCAAATAAGCACACATAATCCAAGGTTTCCTGGTCAAGAAGAACACGCCACCTCTTCGAGAGGCTCTTTACTCACTCAACTTGGCACAGTCTAACTTCTGGCTCTTCTCTAATCTGAAAACCATACTGAAAGGGAAGTGATTTGAGCCATGAAAAGAAAATTATGAGAAAGGAAATGGCAGAGTGCCATACTATCCCATAAAAGGTATTGCAGAGGTGTTACCAGCAGTGGCAGAAGCACTGAGAGAATTGTGTGAACTCCTAAGGGAAGTATTTTGAAGGTGATTAAATAAAATTTGTGAAATTTACAAAATTGATTTTTTATTCCCAAATGTCAGATACTTTTTGAACACAACTTGTACACTTCCAACCAATTGCAGTTTGTTATTTGCAAATGTTTGTTGTAGCAACTGAGAGTGAGTGAAGCCTGAGGGTCTTAGCAAAACCATCCTTCTTTGAATGGTGCTACAGAATCACAAAGAACTTGTACCAAATAACAGAAACCACATCACTTGAAGACTAACAACAGCAGCAACAACTAAAATGGATAGCATATGTAACTCAAAGATGAAATAATGATATAATCAAGATGTTGACATTCCACATTACTCCAAATAAAAGGTTAGGCAGAAAACCCTCATCAATACTGGAAAGAACAATAACAGCTACTGGTCTTGAGAAACCTATTTTTCTGAAAAGTTGTTTTAAAAGAAAGATTTTATGAATTTCAATCAAAAGTAGAACTGGCTGTTTGGTCAATTAATGCCAAATGTAAGAAAATGGCTAATATTACCATTATCATAAGTGATGCCATGTATTTCATTGCAATAATCATTATATATAATTACATTTATTTTTGTTATATACAGTGACATGCAAAAGTATTGGACACATACATTTTTAAAAGATATTTTTTAAGAAAAACAAATTCTAATATGGCTATAAACATAAAAACTAAGTTACATATAATAAATACTTAGGGTATTATATATCTGAGCAAGAATAAGGAATTTTCTGTTTATGCACAAATTTATTAGAAAATTTAACTAAAAGGAGCAGAAATCAGATCCAATTTTATTGGCACTGCTGTTGCCAAATCACCATAGGATTGGTCAAGTTATTGCCATTCCACTGATGAGATCTAATTTTAAACTTCTTCCCAAGATCTAATTTCTGTGTGAAACTTATTTCAAATTATTCTTAACTTCTGTTTGCCATCATAGCCAATAAAGGGAACAGTATTAAATATTGAATGCAGTTTATTGATGTGTATCCAATACTTTTGCTTTGTAACTTTTTGTTAAATTTCTCAATAAATTTGTGCATAGACAAAAATATTCTTTATTTCTGCTCAGATCAGGCATGGGAAAACATTTTTTTGAGAAGTGAAAAGTGTGAGATGTGGCTCATTATATGGTGGGCTGCACTGCTAATAATATTCAAGGTTTAGTTTCCATTAAAAATACCTCAGTCATTTTTGCTACAGAAAACCATATGTGTAAATACATATTTTTGAAATGGGGATAAAGGTGATTCTTTTATCTTTTGAAGTATTGTCTAGAATTAAAAACATCTCAGTATAATATTAATACTGATGACAATGTTATTGACCCATGCTCTGATTTGTTTCTAATTTATTCATTTCAGTATGGAAAGAAAATTTAAAAGAAAAAAATATAATTCTTCTCCAGATAAATAAAATTTATTACAAACATTTCTTGTTTCTAATGCACGAGTTGATTATACGTATAATCATCCTTAGTGAAAATCATCAATGTTTTAAAATGTTGGAAAAGTGAGCTTCAATAAAATGTCAGAAAATTCAAGAAACATAATATTTAATCATTGTTATGTATATTGTTATAAATAAGAGTGTATGAGTAAACAAGTGAGAACAAATATGACTGGCTTAAATATATATATATATATATATATATATATATATATATATATATATAAGGCAGTATGCGTGTGTGTGTGTGTAATGAATACACGGACACAATTTTCGACGGATTTGCACCAAAATTTACATGCACCAAGTTAGCAGAAAGGCCAAGACCGACTGCATTTCACAACTCCCATCAAAAGTGGAAATAATCAATTTTTTTCATGCTTCTACAGCAGTTTTCATGTAGTTTGCGGCCATTTTGTACTGGCCAGAGTGAGAGCCAATAGCTGGCTGCCACGAATAGGCAGGAAGATTCTACTGGCCAGTGTGAGAGCCAACAGCTGACTGACACAAATGTTAACTAGCATGCTAGCATGCAAAAAACATCGATAGCTGCATTCAGCACAAGTGGGAAAAATTTAAATCTGCATGGCACTTTACTCCAATTAGCTCATTTGCTTGCTTAAAGTCAACGTTGATTATGATTCCACAGAACTGGGTTGGGTGTGAAAAAGTATTTGTTGTTAACATTCTTTTTTCATTCGTTTTTTTCAGTTATGAGTCCTTTTTTAAAGCTGATCGTTTTGTGTTCATTTTGTTTAGTTCTTTTTTCGTAACAGATTTAATGTATAGAGCTTAGAAAAAATTTACAGTGCAAGAAGTAAGGCATGTAGCAACATCAGCATGGCAAAGGCAAGGAAGGGCAAAAATATTTTAAGTCAAGTGACAGCGATTGCTGTATGAGTTGTACGATTTTTGAATCAAGCACGGGCAACACCTAGCCATGCTGCTAGTATATATATATAA